CTATTATTCTTCAAAATAATTTCCTTTGTTCTATGATAACCAGGAATGTCAAAAACATGCAGTTTGGGGGGAAGGAGATCCTGTGTTTCACTGTATAGATTAGGGGTGTCGAACTTAATCAGAGAAGGGGCCAAAATCTAAAATCCAGCCTAAATCGCGGGTCGAATGGTTTACTGAACAGTCATAAACTGTCATTGTGATGGAAACGCAGCGGAGTGCAGTGATGACAGCGCGGTGCGGGCCACATTGCAAGGCCTGGCGGGACGGATTTGGCCCGCGGGCCTTGTGTTTGACACATGTGGTATAGATGATGAGTTCAAAGTCCCAGGATGACCTTCGAGTCTGTACTTCAGTCCTTGGCCTAGTGCTTACAAGAGTGTGACCTTGAGGCAGGGATGGGATCAACTCCCTCTTCTCCAAAATAACACCTACCCTGTTGACTTCCTGGGGATTGAGAGGAATATTCTATGTGAAGTGCCCAGGAAAGGCCTGTAAGGAGGAGGTGCTCAACAGATGGCAATGACCACCCTTGGGCAATGCCATCCAGCTATTCAGGGTAGAGCCAGGGCCAGAACTCTGTTTTCTGATTTTCAAATGTATGTGTTTGAAAATCACACACACACACACACACACACACACACACACACACACACGCCACAGGAGCAGTATAATGTCTGCTTCTGTGAAGTGACATGGTTTAGAATACTTTGTAGTTATCATTTTCATAGCACTTAGAGCAGTGATTTTCAACCTTTTTCATCTCATGGCACAGAGAAACTAATTACTAAAATTCTGCGGCACATCAAAAAAAATGTGTTTTTTTTTTGCCGATCTGACCCCCCAAAAAATGGGTGTAATTTTGATTCATACACACCAGACGGCTATTGTTGTGTCGGCTGTTGTCACATTTTATTTGACAACCTAAGGGAAAAGAGGTCAGTGCCCTGGCTAAAGCGTCAGGTACTGCGTGTTTTGAAACTTCTTGCGGCACACAGGTTGAAAATCGCTGATTTGGAGGCTACAATAACATGGGAAAGTTAGACAGGGATGGTATTGCTAGGCCAACTTCGCACAGCAGGGAAGGGAGGCTGAGAGGGTGATTTCCCTCAGTTTCACAGCTAACCAGATTTCCCAAGATACTTCAGTCTGGGGGCCTGATTTCCCTCAGTTTCACGGCTAGACCCCCTCCCAGACCTGGTGCCTCCCCACCCATGGCTCTTTCCACAGCACACAATGCCTTCCAACCTACAGGCCAAACAGCTCTCCCAGGAGATAAGGAGAAGTGAGAAATAGGCTGGGATCATTAATGACACAAATAACCAACAATCCCGATTAGATAGTGAGGGGGAAATTGAACTTTGAGACGGTTGAGCAAGAGACTGAGAGACAACACTGACGAGGCAGTACTGCACCCACGCCGATGGCAGGTGGGGATTGGGCGGTCACCACGGACCAGAGTAACCCTTTCCTGTCGGAAAAGTACTGGCTACTCAGTAACTCTGAAATTTTGCAGCCCATTCTTCCCAGTCGCCCCTGCCTCTGCAGCATCCTAATTGCACAGAGTTGCTTCCTCAGACAAGGAAAGCCTCAAGTTCTTGGCCACATTTCAAGCTTCAACTTTACTCTTTTGTCTCAAAGGGGTGGTATCGCTAGAGCCTAGAACTTGGATACTTTTACATTCACTAGCCCTGGGGACTTGAATCTAGGCAGGCACTCTCGTCTCCCTGGAACACACAGGAACGTCTAAAAAGAGTCACCCCGAGGAAATGAGAGGCTCTTGCCCCTGGCTTCATGCTGGTGCTTAAAAAACCACCTGTTCCCTCAGATCATGGTATTTTAGAAAAACCTACCACATCACTCTCCCAAACTGACATCTACTATTCTAACTGTGACTGTCATCAACTACACTGGATTGTAAACTTTAGGTGACTTGTATGGGATGTAGATTCTATCTCAACAAAACTGTGGCATTCATAAAAGGGCCCTAAGGGAATTGGAAGCCTGGTCTCAAAGAGATATGTGTACACTCAGGTTTAAAGAGGCATTATTCACAACGGCCAAAAGGTGGGAACAACCCAAGTGTCCACTGGCCTATGGACTATTATTCAGCCTTGAAAAGGGAGGAAACTCTGACCCATACTACAACATGAATGGACTTTGAAGACATCACGCTAAGTGAAATAAGCCAGTCAGGCAATGACCAATACTGTGTGACTCTCCTTATAGGAGGTACCTGGAATAGTGAAATTCACAGAGGCAGTGAGTAGAATGGTGGTTTCCAGGGTGGTGATGGTGATGGTGATTGGGGGGGGGAGGGTAATGCGGGGGAAGGTGGAGGACAGGAATGCTGAGTTGTTTAATGGATCTAGAGATTCAGTTTTGCAAGAGAAAAGGAGTTTTGGAGATTGCTTGAGCAACAATGTGAATGTAAAACGAACACTACGGACTGAACACTTAAAACGGTTAAGATGGTAAATTTTATGTTATGTGTATTTTAGCACATTTTTTTTAAAGGTGAGGGGGCACGGTGGTTTGCATGCACCATTTTGGGGCAGCTACAGCCTGGAGTTCCATGAATTTCAAAAGAGGATGATATTGAGGACAAAACAGGCTGGAGGATTCCCCAGCATTACATGGCCTCCAAGTCCCGTGATCTCTCAGTTTTGAATATGTTATGGAGTCGAGAGACTTAAAACACACACCTGCCAACTGTCTGCGCTGCTCAGGAGTGACTATTTTCCTAAGGCCTGGTCAGCTGCAGCCTTGCTGTGGTGAACTTTGAGTTCCAGTTACACATCAAACCCCGGAAGCAGGCAAATGCTGATGCCACAGGAGCAGCAGCAGGTGTCACCACTCGGGGGCGGGTGCACCATGCCCTCTGACGTGCTTGGCCAGTCTGCTGTTCACGTGAAGTGGTGCCCGGCAGGAGCAGGGCCACCTGGGTCTGCCTACGCAAGCCATTCTTCCCCGATTGATGAAGGTTTAGCATCCAAGGTTATACCGTGCTGGTGGGGGGGTTGGGGGAGGGAGAGAAATTGCTAATCTATGTAGACTTTGGTGACCCAAATGTAAACAGCTCTGCTCTAGACCACTGAGTCAGAGTGAGTCAGACTCGCTATGTGCCCGTCTTGGGAAAAGGCTCTTTTTGAATTAATAACCTGAATGTTTAGGCTAACAAAGAACTAGCTTAATCATGTTCCATCAATGTCTCGTGTATTCTAAATATAACAAGTTCAGAAACATGTCATAGTCACGCCATCAGAATTCTGATTGTTTGTAAAATTTAGTCCAAAAATAAGCAACTCATCTAAGAGAGCAGTTGAGAGGTCTACCTAAACAATAATTTGGCTAGAGCAAAATTCTAAAGTATTCAACTAGCCCTTCTCAATAAATACTAAGATTCAAAGCCATTCTTTTAAAAAAATGTTCCTATTTCTTTATGACAATTCACCAGAGTTTTCTTATCCAGAAAGCATGCAATTTCAGACAGGGGCTCAGATTGGAGATATCTATAAAAAGAACTCAATGCATCATAGGACCTAAAAAAAAATGAGCTATTGTTATTGTTGTCATTATCACAACAAGGATAATTAGTATTCGTAGCATAAGTGAAATTGTTTTTACCATGCAGCTCTCAGCGGGTGGACTGTTTTTAGTCACAATTCTAACTGCCCAAGTCCTGACCCCCAGCATCTGTCACTCACCCCACACTCCATTCTCTCACCACCATCCTTCTCTACTTCCTCCATTCTTCTCTGGCAAAATAAAACCTGATGAAACCTCCCCAGATTGGGTCATCTGGGTCTGATCAATCAAGCACGGGATGCTGGAATGAGCAGCAGGTGGGGATGGGAAACCAGAAAGAATGCCTTTGGGTGGCAAGTGGGTTCAGGAGGGCTGATGGGAGTTCTACCTGGCCTAGCCCTCCACCATCCTTATGATAGGCTGTGGCCAAGACTTCTCCAGACAAATGAGCCTCAATTTTGTGTTTCAGACATTTCAATTTCCTTTAATAATCACATTCGATGTCTAACACTACCCACTTTTAGAAGCTATCTGGCCCTTAAACTCTATTTAGACAACCTAGTTCTCCCATACTTTCTCCTTCATTTCTTTGACATTTCACTTGTTCACTCATAAATTCTAATGTCACACTCAAAACCATCGAGCACTTTGACTCCACCTCCCCTAATTTTATGAATGATCCCAAAGAAATATATTTCTGAGAATTTAGACTTTCCTTATGATCATGCTTCATTGATCATAAATAGATTTCATTGTTTTTACATTTCCCCATAAGGTTTATTTGCTTTGTTCATTATTTCACTCAGGAAGCACCTCATATCTTATTTACCTTCTCTTGATTTGGATTTTGTGTTAATGCTCAAGTGAAAAACTGTAGAATGAATCCTTACCCGGACGGTGCCATCTCTAGGGGAGATGATGGCTTAGATCAGTCACTTTGAGTTTTATTCTAGTCTCTACCAACTGTAAGACAAAAATGTAAAATTTGAGAGAGAATGAAAATAAAGGCAGTGTGTTGGGCATTAAAAACACTAGGGACCCCGCTTGGTTTTAGGGCATAAGGAAGGGGTGCTTCTGGATGCAGACACTTTAGAAACTTACATAATTCTCTTGTAAAGTTGTGATGCCACTTTGCAGGAGAAAAGTAAGGCTCAGAGAAATAAAGGCAACCTTGGCCAAGGTCATGTATTTTTTTTTTAAGTGATGGAGCTCAGCTAACATTCTTGCCAATTCCTTCTGTGGATTCTAGAGCTTGGCCACGCATTAGCTGTTTGACTTAGAGGAAATCCCCTATTCCTCTGTGTCTCAGTGTCTTCACCAGTCAGATGAAGAGTCTGGAGTAAGAACTACATGGTCTGCTGATAGCCCTTGTAGCTTTAACGTCCAAGGCATACAATGAGTATGTGAGCATGATAAGAAGGATTGGCTGTTTATGAGCCAATCAGAGGTATTAGATATGAACCTCCCCACTAGGCCAACGTGGGAAGGGGAGGGCAAAAGGAAGGAAAAAACCACACACACCACACAACTTTGATGAGAAATCTATAAAAGCCGAGTGTTCCCAAACATTCGTCCTATTTGGCAGCTGCTGCCTCAGCCACGGCTTCTGATCTCTAAGAGGACACTCTGCTCCCAAATTGTAAGTAAAAGAACTTCTTTTGTCTACTTGGACTGCACCAGGGATTAAGGGGTTAATGAACTTGCACCGGGGAAAGTCTGCTTGCTTTTGTTTTCAGGAAAAACAGGAAGGTGGTTGAAAACACTGTGAGCTGCTGAGAAGTTTGTTTTCCTTCACACCTTTCCTGGCAGCAAACTGCTCACGGTTGCTGCTATTTCCAGTGTTACCTATCTGAGGGCTCTTTGGAGTCTTAGCCTGGGGAAAACAACCTGAATGCACCCACTGGGTTAGGTCAGTGGTTGGCAAACTCATTAGTCCACAGAGCCAAATATCAACAGTACAACAATCGAAATGTCTTTTGAGAACCATATTTTTTAAACTTAAACTTCTTCTAACACCACTTCTTCAAAATACACTCGCCTAGGCTGTGGTATTTTGCAAAAGAGCCACACTCAAGGGGCCAAAGAACCACATGTGGCTCAGTTTTGCTGACCACGGGGTTAGGTTCTACTCAGTTTTTGAGATGCCGGCTCATTTCCACTCTTTCCACAACCACTGCTTGTTTTGATGATTTATTTACGTATCTGTCACCTTCTGTCACTTTCTTCATTCTCTTCTCACACGGACTAGTGTGAGCACAGAAGTTTCTTTGTCACAGAAATGGACTCTGATGTGTATTGGTTGCCCTTGGCCTTCATCTACTGCTCAGATGGGAAAAAGGAACAGGCTTGGAGACCTCACAGAACAGAGTTATCATCTGATTATAAATCCTCAAACCTACCACTGGTTTGATGCTTTCTACAACATTTCCCTACTTTGGGGCACCAAGCACCTCGAAGGCACTAAGCTTAAGATATCTGGAACCAAAAGCTGCTGATGTATTTGTTCCATTCTCTCTAAAAAACAAAACCAAAAACAGCATGTTGTGAAGATATGATGCCTTTTAAAATAAACTTGACTTTAAATGGTGGCCTAGGGCTTCACTAGCCAATTGGGAAGCTGCTGCCATCATTGTGTTGGCCAAGGTGTCTCCGTGGAAGACCCAGGCCCAGGCTGGACCTGAGGTGCCGGGCTGGGGAGTGGAGTGTAGCTGTTAGGAGTTCCTTGCCTGTTTAGAAGGAAAGGGCAGCCTTCTCTCTCTGCACGGTGTTCACAGGCACCAGGGTTCAGGCTGGCAGAGCATTTCACTGCCCTTGCCACGGTGGCATTGGGATGAAGGATGAGACTGTGAGCATCTTTTATCCGTACATAAAAGTGCTGCTCTCAGTGCCTGACCAGCACAGGCTTCCAAAGAATAAGCCCCTGGTGTCTGTCTTCTTGCAAATCCATCCGCCTTGCACATGGAGAAGCAAATGGACTCTCCACCGCCTTCTACTTCTCCAGAAGTTGAACATACATATTTCACAAATTATTATCTTTCCGTAGAACCTCTCTCAGGGAGGCAGAAAGAGTCACACTGTAGGGTCCCTTCTGTTATTTTGTTGAGAAAGATTGGAAATTAGGATTCCAAGTTCTACACCAATCAGATGTGATTTATAAACATCACAACTTAGAAGGGGCATCAGACATATTCTTCCTGGGCCTCTGTCTCCTCGTTTCTCACGTTGGCAAGGTTAATACAGGGTGCTCAGAGGTCACTGGCAGCTCTGTTTGTCTGTGGTTACCTTCTGTTCAGATATGTACATACTCACAACCTTCTCCCAGATTTAGGTGATTCCCATGTATCACCTGTTACTGTATTACATATAATAAATTAAGTAACGCGTAACCCTGTTTAGTAAGAAATCAAACACAAAAAAGTTTGAAAAAAGAAAATGAGAGTCATTCCACCCCGTCTCATTCCCTAGGGGTAACCCTGGGGTGGTACTTCCCTGTTTATATAGTCATACAGACGGTATGTGTGTATACTACGTTTTTAATTTTAAAAGAATATTATATATTGCATGCTTCTCTGACACTGGATTTTTTTCCCCATTTAATAATATGATGTGAAAAACTTCCAATGGCACTTTAAAAAATATTGACTCGAGACCTCAGTGAGCAGAGGCCAGGGGCAGAGAGATCACGCTCTGTCATTCCCACTCCCGCTGGCCTCCTGTCCCCGGTGGTGGACATTGGCCTGTGACCCTGATTTATGATTAACAGACGGGTAACATTTGTGCTGATGTGGTACAGACCTTTAATCCTTCTGTAGAAGTTTAACTTCCTATAAACAGATTTGGGTTGATTCGACCTTTCTTCTCTTGGTTTTTCTGGTTGAGTCAGCACTCTGGGCCTGAAGAAAATAGCTTGGTGACAAATAGAAACATGGGAGTCCCTTAGGTGATTCTGTTTTAAACAGTCAAAAAGGAAATAATAATAATAGCTTACATTTTCATAATGCTTTATAAAGCATCTTCATGTTTATCATGCAATTCGACAATTTTATTTTGAGCAAACACAATGAGTAGAGTGCTTATGGGTCACAGGTGATCCATCTGGCAATGAGACAACCAGAGCAGATATTACTACCATTTAATCCATAATAAACTCAGACTCAGAAATTACAGCTTTGCCCATGGTCCCAGCCAGGGGAAGCAGAGCCTGTCCTTGAACCAGGTCTATTTGCTCTCCTAGCAGCAAATGTGTGTCAGATGCTTATGAATTGGTAATGTCAGTGGTGTGGGGATAATGATCTACAGTCCAAGGATTTGGGGTACCTTGATGGTATCATCACCAAGTATTCTGGTGGGCTATAGGCTAACCGAACGAAGTGGAGAATGGCCACATCAGGCCAAAAGCCTCACTGTCCTGGCCTCAAGCCAGGGTACCTGATGGCACCAGAAATCCACGGAGTAGAAAGCCAATTACTGCAGTGCATCTACCTGTCAAATGCGATGGGTCACTAACTAGCTGGTTCAGTCTCAGGAACAGTCATCCCAAAGGTACCCTGGCAGGCATTCTATTTAGCATCACCATGAACATTTACCGTCCCACCTTCATCCATTATGGCTAACAGCATCTACGTAGGCTATGGGGGAAAACTCCCCCTCAGACCTCATTTGTTCATGCACTTGTAATGGCAGAGGGGCCTGTAGGGCTAGTCTGCACACCCAGCTGCCTTAGTCATGAGTCCATCTGAGCCACCCTCAGTTCTGCTGAGGACTCTCCTGCACTCTTTTCCAGACCTGTCACCATGGCCCACAAATTCCCAGCCCTCACCGCGGACCAGAAGAAGGAGCTCTCAGAAATTGCCCAGCGCATCGTTGCCAATGGGAAGGGGATCCTGGCTGCCGATGAGTCTGTAGGTGAGTGAGAGCCAGAAGCTCATAGTACACTAAGCATATTCTTGTTACTACATGTAGCAGAGGCAACTTGATCATTATGTTCCCTTTCCTCTCAGAGGAGTAAAGGCTTATGCACACAGGAGTGGGAGCCGAAGGCTTAGGAAGCAGAGACCTTTGGGGTCCTGTCATTTCAGTAGGCAGATTTCTGAAAACCCAAGACAGACTCAGCCTTTCATTGTCACATTGCCCCTTGCCAGAGGTCATTGGGATTCTGGCTATCTAGCAAGACCAGGAATTCAGTAGCCAGAAAGAGGTCAGATACACAGCCTGCCTCTGCTAATGAGAAGCCAGTTTAAAGTCAGCCAGGGAAGGGCAGAGAGGACCAGGGAGTGTCCACATCTGGCACAGGGAAGAGCTTGTGTCTAAGTGAGCCCGAGAAGGTAAAATGAGAGCTGGGGTGGGCCCGCATGCCCCCAGGAAACGATAGACACCAGAGAAGTCAACAGTCAGATTGAGGGTTGAACCAGAGAGGCTGGGGAGAGGCTGGAGGGCCTTAGGTACCCACCTGGACCAACTGGTGGCTTCCACCCTGACTCAGACATGCCCAGCCCATTCTCTTCCCAACCATCAGCCAATGGAGACAAAAAAGAGGCAGGAGTTCGAAAGTTCTGAGAATAGAGAAGAGTCTTGATGACCTTCCCCGAGAGGGTCTCTGAGACTGGGAGGAGGAAAGCCTGGCTTGCTCCTTATCCTGCCTTTGCCTGCCCACCCATAGGTACCATGGGAAACCGCCTGCAGAGGATCAACGTGGAGAACACGGAAGAGAACCGACGGCAGTTCCGGGAGATCCTCTTCACCGTGGACAACTCTGTCAGCCAGAGCATCGGGGGCGTGATCCTGTTCCATGAGACCCTCTACCAGAAGGACAGCCAGGGAAAGCTGTTCAGAGACATCCTTAAGGAAAAGGGCATCGTGGTGGGGATCAAGGTGAGTACTTGCACTCCCCTCACCTCTAACCGCAACCTGGCCAGTGCCCAGCCCAGGGGCCCATGCAGGGCCAGCACTCCAAACATACCTCCTCATCTGCTTTCTATCACACCTTCCCCTGAGAACCGATCCTCTTCCAGACTTTTCCTCCCATGCCCTCTTCCTTCAACCATTTTCTACAACCATTTTCTACAAATCTCTTAGTGCCTCCATTTCCTCATTTCTAACATGGGTGTACCTACCTCATAAGATTCTTATAAGGATGAAATGTGTTTTAAAAACAGTCCCTGTCACAAAATTATTATTCAGAGCATGATAGCTGTGATTATGAAAGCACTCACTCTTCTGTCTTTAACTATTGGGTCGGCAACTAAGTAATTGCTGGTTTTACACATATATGGCTTCAGTTGAATTTTTAGGTTTGCAGACGTAGTACAAATGTAAAACACATTTTGTTATTTGATAGTTGGCTATTCAGCTGTTAATCAGTAAAAAAAGTTTTTTGATCTGTTTTGTAGTTTTCGTTTGGCGTTCGTTGAAAAATGGTAAATCAAAAGGAACATTTTCGTCATATTTTGCTTTTTTATTTCTGCAAAGGGAAAAACGCATTGCAAGCTCATAAAAAGTTATGTGCTGTTTATGGTGACGAAGCCTTAAAAGAACGGCAGTGTCAAAATTGGTTTGCCAAATTTCGTTCTGGTGATTTTTCACTCAAAGATGAAAAACGCTCTGGTCGTCCAGTTGAAGTTGATGACGCCCTAATCAAAGCAATAATCAATTCGGACTGTCACAGTACAACACGTGAGATTTCAGAGAAGCTTCATGTATCACATACATGCATTGAAAATCACTTAAGACAACTTGGCTATGTTCAAAAACTCGATACATGGGTTCCTCACGAACTGAAAGAATCACAGTTAACGCAACGCATTAGCAGCTGCGATTTGCTAAAGAAACGTAATGAAAATGATCCATTTTTAAAACGACTGATAACTGGCGATGAAAAATGGGTTGTTTACAACAATATCAAGTGGAAAAGATCGTGGAGCAGGCCAGGTGAACCAACTCAAACAACATCAAAAGCTGATATTCATCAAAAGAAGGTTTTGTTATCAGTTTGGTGGGATTACAAAGGAATTGTCTACTTTGAACTCTTACCACCCAACCGAACGATCAATTCTGATGTCTACATTGAACAACTAACAAAATTAAACAATGCAGTTGAAGAAAAGCGGCCCGAATTGACAAATCGAAAAGGTGTTGTATTCCATCATGACAATGCAAGGCCACACACATCTTTGGTCACTCGGCAAAAATTAATGGAGCTTGGTTGGGATGTTTTGCCACATCCACCATATAGTCCTGACCTTGCACCATCTGATTACTTTTTGTTTCGATCTTTACAAAACTCCTTGAATGGTAAAAATTTCAATAATGATGATGATGTCAAATTGTACCTGATTCAGTTTTTTGCTAATAAAAACCAGAAGTTTTTTGAACGTGGGATTATGATGCTGCCTGAAAGATGGCAAAAGGTCATTGATCAAAATGGGCAATACATTACAGAATAAAGTTATTTAGTTCCATGAAAAAATTGTCTTTGATTTTCTTTTAAAAATCCGCAATTACTTGCTTGCCGACCCAATAGGTCTTCCAAAACTGCAATAACTTCTCACAAATAGAGTGCTTAGAACTCCAGGGACTCATTTATTCCTCCTGACAACCTCTGGAGGCTGACTCAGTTATTCTTATTTTAGAGGTGAGGTGAGAATAATAGAATAACACAACTTGCCCGCAGCAAGGCAAAATTGGAGGCAGTTTGAGCCCAGATTGTCCACCTCTCTGGCTCATGAACTTAGCCTTTGCTCTGCTGAGAGTAGAGGCTGCATGCTATTGTCTTCATCTCCTGTAATAACACAGTACCTGCTACGTGAAGGTGCTCCATCATGTCTCTTGAATAAATGAATGAATAATTTAAGGGATGCTGCTCTTATGCAGAACCTCTATATTCCTGGTGCTATATCAGATTACTTATTACTTCCCAAGCTCCAGGCCTGTGCTTTCCATCCTCTTAGGGTTGACCTTGACTCTCTTACATTGTTCCTTCCAGGTAATGACCCCTCGGTAATGAACTGTTGTATCTTTCTGTTGTATCTCTCCAGATAACTAATCCATTTTTTTTTTAAAAATGAACTCCTTGATTTATGAAAGATGGGAACTACTAGTCAGCACCAGGGGCTCTGCTGATGTTTTATTTACTGGGATACCTGACACCTGCTAATTACTTTTTAATTATTTAATTCACAGTTGGACCAAGGAACTGCTCCACTTGCAGGAACAAACAAAGAAACCACCATTCAAGGTAAGGATACTGCCCACTGATATGAGCCATGCCAATATATGCCAATATATGCATTCAAGGTAAGGACACTGCCCACTGATATGAACCATTCCAAATAAGGAAGTGAAAATAAATTATGAATATCACATGGGGTTTAAAGCCACATGTATCTGATTTTCAATCCAAACTCCTCTAGTTAAGAACTGTGTGACTTCTGATTTATCACTTAAGTTCTGAGTCCATTCTAGGGAATAACAATATCTGCTTTGCAGAATAGTTTTGAAGATTGAGTTAAACAATATATATATTATATATATATATTTTTTTTTTTGAAGGTGCTATATATATATAGTTCTTACCACAGTGTATTGCACAGAGAAGATACTCTGTACCTGGGAATATTATTTTTAGAGAAAAATCCAGCAGCAATAGAGAGTAATGGCCCCAGGCTTTGGAATCGGACACACCTGGGTTTGAATCCTGGTTCCATCACTTACAAGTGGTCAGCAAACTCATTCATCAACAGAGCCAAATATCAATAGTATAACAATTGAAATTTCTTTTGAGAGCCAAATTTTTTAAACTTAAACCTTAAACTTCTTCTAACACACTTCTTCACAATAGGCTCCCCCAGGCCGTGGTATTTTGTGAAAGAGCCATCATCAAGGGGCCAAAGAGTCGCATGTGGCTTGAGAGCTCCAGTTTGCCAACCACTGACTTACAACTTAGATAATTTTGCTAGGTAGTTCACTGCCCATGTAGACAAGTATAAGCCAAAACACTGGGTTAGTTATGCAGAATTCAAATCCCACCTCCATCACTCTTTCATATGCAAACTTAGTTAAGTCACTCAACCTTCTGGAGCCTGGATATCCACATCTGTAAAATGAATATAATATTAACTCTTGGGGTCATGATAACTAAATGAGAAACGGTGTGCAAAATGCCTAGAGTCACTCCTGGAACATAGCAAGTATACCAACCAAATATTCATTCCCTCTATTCTTATGGTGTATCCACATGCGCTTCAAAACCATATTTATGAAATCCATGTCTCCCGGCTGAGTATTGGGACCCATGCTTATTTGCCCAATTATTTTTGACTCTCAAGCTCTGCTGACTGGAAGCTAAGCCCAGGGAGAACTCCTTCACTTTATCGGCCCCAGGGGTCGGGGACAGGGCCACAAAGAAGCCATTCTCTCTTTTGTGACTTGCAGGGCTCGATGGCCTTTCTCAGCGCTGTGCTCAGTACAAGAAAGATGGTGTTGACTTTGGGAAGTGGCGTGCTGTGCTGAGGATTGACAACCAGTGTCCATCCGCCCTTGCTATCCAGGAAAATGCCAACGCCCTGGCTCGCTATGCCAGCATCTGTCAGCAGGTGCTCAGGCTTCCCCTTGGGCTAAAACACAGTAGGCGAGTGCTATCATTAGAGCCTATCTTTCTAATTTTACTATAGCCACACCTGAGCCCTCTTCTCCCCCACCAGGGTAGCCTGGTGGCATTTTCACTACTTCTGCTGTAGCCATGGCTGGTAGGGAAAGAACTGGTTGCACAAGTCAGCTAGGAGCCCAAAAGGCAGGTGCCATCAACTGCAGTTCTTCTTCAAAGTGGTCAGGCTTTTGAGGCCAGGGCACTTGCTTGTCTGTGTTCCACCATGTCCAAAGACAGGGTCCTCTGAGATCCCAGGCCAAGGGTGATAGCTCTGACCCAGTCCACATCATTTCATAGAGGATGGAGACTTGATGCTAAAATTTCTAACATATATTGGCACATCCCTGAGATCCATTTTAGTCTGATTTTATTGTATGGGTGCTGAGCTGTAGCCAAAACCTAGATTCACAATCAGAATTGTAACTACTTTTTGAACTCCTTACTTAACCCACATAAAAGGCATCTTTCTTAGTTATTTAAGCTTGACTGCTCTAAAAGGGTGATAGTTAGTTTCTGAAGTAGCCAGAGTAGTTTCTAGAATAAGACTTAGAAATTACGAGTTTGCTTTTATTTTTTCCCCATTTCCAGAAAAAAACTTTTCTTCCTTTCTTCTCTCCTACCTTCCTTCCTTTTTTCCTTTTTCTTTCTTTCTTTCTTTTCTTTTCTTTTTTTTTTTTTTTTTTTTAAATTCTCACTCGAGGATATTTTTCCATTGATTTTTAGAGAGAGTGGAAGAGAGAGGGAAAGATAGAAATACCAACGTGGGAGATACATGCCCTTAACCTTAACCTGAATCGAACCTGGGACCCTTCAGTCTGCAGGCCAATTCCCTATCCACTAAGGCAAACCAATGAGGGCCCTTGCTTTCTTTTCAATCTCACTGTTCTTTTTTGGCTACTAAGCCATGCTCACTAGATATTTCTTTAAATTCTTTTGCATTGCCTTTGAGTCACTTACATGATATTTCTCCAAAAGGGCTTTATTTTGTACCAACCCCAACTGTTGAATAATCTCTTAAGGAAAGATTCCTAGTGAGAGGAGCCTAACTCTGTCCTCTCCTTTTTCCTTTTTAGAACGGGCTGGTACCTATTGTTGAACCAGAGGTAATTCCTGATGGAGACCATGACATGGAACACTGCCTATACGTTACTGAGAAGGTCAGTCCAAATTCTAGTTGAAAATTCTTGCTTTTAAGTAACAGCTATTACTTAACATATATCAACTACTATATGAGAAATATTCTCAGTTGGCATCTTTATGTATCATTGAGAAGGTAAGGAGGTATTATCAAACCTACCACTTTTGGGTACATGGTATGCTCCTTATGAAAAAAACACAGGATTTGCAATACCAAGACTAGGGCGTGAGAATCCATGTACCTACTTGTTGGGTCTCAGTTCCATTAGGTGTAAATTAAGAAATTTTAAAATAAAATGAGGCTTACATAAAAAACAAACATGTGATTAGAAAGTAGTTTGTCTACTTGTGACTTTCTAAATTAGCCACAGTATATCTGTAGGAGAGTAAGAGACATAATGTAATCTGACCTCAGTTTCTTTCTTGGCAAAATTAGGTGGATTAAGATGATATCTGAAAGCACTTCTGTGTCTGAAATGTTTTTATGGCCACTTAGCATCTAAGGGGAAGGAGAATAGAGGCCAATTTACATGTCCCCAACTAACTACACCCAGGCAGTCTCCACTGACCAAAGGGAGTGATGGGAAGGAAGGAGTGAAGCAGCCATGCCAGCGGACCATGCAGTGGGCAGCTAGAGTAGGGGTGGCGGGTACAGGCCAGCTTGTCTGTGCTTAGTGGCTGTGGTTTGCAATACATTGCCCTGATGAGGCCTGGGGGCTGGTTGGGAAGCTTTGGCCAAGCCACATATGAGAATTGCTTCATTCTGCATCCCTGCAGCATAGAAGTGCCAAGGGCAGGTGACTCTAAGGCTGGCTTTGGGTTTCACCTGTTTGGCTTTCTTATCCTTCAGGTCCTGGCTGCTGTGTACAAGGCCCTGAATGACCATCATGTGTACCTGGAGGGCACGCTGCTGAAGCCCAACATGGTGACTGCTGGGCATGCCTGCACCAAGAAGTATACTCCAGAGCAAGTAGCCATGGCCACTGTCACCGCTCTCCACCGTACCGTTCCTGCTGCTGTGCCTGGTACGGCTTTCCTGCACCTCTCACTCCAGGTCTTGGCCCTCAGCCAAATTCCACAAGCATTAGTGTTTGTCCAAAGTCTTCCACCCATGAAGCAGACCCCTGCCACCTCCCAGGCAGCAGCACTTCCCCTCTCTTTGTGATACCACATATCCTGAGTCTGCCCAAATGCACACAATCCATTGATTTCCTCAACATTTCACCTCCTTCCTTACTTATGAAACCCCTTATATCCCTAGCCCAACAAGGGAAAAGAAATATCCCAGACCCAGTCCCATGCAAATCAAGCAGAGAAAAGGTTGAAACATCACATTTCTTTTAGGCCCATTGCTTGCTTTCTCAAGATGGGTGCACAAGCTGGGACTAAGAGGAATTGTTTCTGTCCTTCTAGGCATCTGCTTTCTGTCTGGGGGCATGAGTGAAGAGGATGCTACCCTCAACCTTAATGCTATCAACCTTTGCCCTCTACCTAAACCCTGGAAACTAAGTTTCTCTTATGGACGGGCCCTGCAGGCCAGTGCACTGGCTGCTTGGAGTGGCAAGGCTGCAAACAAGAAGGCGACACAGGAGGCTTTCATGAAGCGGGCTGTGGTAAGATGCTACTACCTCTTACGTACTTGATCACATGGACACTTGGGGCCTGGTTCTGTCATGTGGAAAACCTTGCTTTCTTAGGCCATGAAGGTGTCTCCAGATAATGCCTACTGAGTATTTGAAAATGTGGCACTGGAGCTCAATAGGAAGGTGAGGGCTAGAGAGTTTTGAGTTATCCACACTGGGCGCATAGCTGATGACAGAGGTTTTAGGAAAATTTCCACAAAGACACTTCTGAGGAAAGATAAGAGGGATAAGCACTGAACCTTTCATTTTGGGAAGATGAAGAAGAGAAGCCACCCAACAAGCAGCAATACTATGATAGGATGAACCAAGGATTCTGAAAACAAAGAGAAACAAATTTCAAGGGGTCAGTAACAACATACTTCTGAGAGATTCAGAATAAAGGCTCAGAGAAAGCAGAAATGGACATTTAGGTGATTATCAGTGAACCTCAATAAAATAGTTTCAAGAGAGAGAGGAAGAAAAGTGCATATTCAAGAAGTTTGTCAGAATACCTAGAAAGGTTACCAGGAGAAATGAAGACAAAATGATTTTATTCAACTAGTAACCATTCCTTTTTGGACACCTGTTATGAGCCAAGGACTGGGATGAATAAAGCAGATCAGCCACTGCCTTTAGGGAGCTTAGAGCTTAGCCAAGTAGGAGAGAGCTTGGCATACTTAGATGTCAAGAACACTATCAAGAGCGTAAAAAAGACACCTCATAGTATGAATGAACATATTTGTAAATCTGATAGGTGATAAGGTTTTATTATCCATCTCAGTATCATAGCTGGAAATAACCTAGTTTAAAAAAAATGGGCAAAGGACTAAAATAGACACTTCTCCATCAATGAAGTACAAATGGCAATAAATACATGAGATTATCAGCATCTCTAATTACCAGAGAAATGCAAATCAAACCCACAAAGTGATATCATTTGTAAGCATTAGAAAAAGAAAGCTAGAGGACAGAGTGAAGATGAGGAGAGTGGAGTTCATGGAGAGGACAAGGGCTTAGAGGAAACAGGATTACATAAAACTAAATGTTAATACAGTTGGCAGAGTTAGTCTTAGAAAGAATGGGAGAGACATCACAGAGAGAATGGGTTGAAGTCAGATCTGTTGGGATAAAGAGATGCAGTGGTTGATTGCTGACTGACTGCCGTTGAGAGCATCTGTTGAGAGTGAGAAGGGAATAGAGATTTCAATCTTAACAGCGGAGGAGCTTGAAATCGTCTGCTGGGAAATTGACCAGATGTGATGGTCAACCTTATCAGGCAAGGTGCAGCTGAGAGGAGAGTAAGTTTGTGGTACATTAACTTAGATCCTAAATTTTCCTGACAGCTCTCTTAAGCATGCAGGAAGATTCAGGTCAACCAAAATGGGAATAGCAGGAGAAAAGAGTAAAAGTTTAATAAGGAGACTGAAGAGTGCTGAATTTGAGTGATGGTCTTATGTAGCTTGCTGATCAGAGAAGGCTGGGCAAGAAAAGAATTCACCAGAAGCACTAAAGGAAAGGAAGTTCCCAGGGAAGTTGGGTTATAAGGGGTGTGAGATTGTAGAGGTAGTCCTTTACCTTATGATGATGGAGAGCTGGGCATGGCTGTGCTGGCGTGGCTGTTGAGTTGGAGGGACTGTGAAACTAAGGGCCAGGGGCCAATCCACACCAAAGAAGGGAAGCCGAGTTTATCGTCTGAGACGTGATTCTCAAACTAGTGCGTACATCTGAATCATCTGGTGGGCTTGTTAAAACCCAGATTGCTGGGCCCCAGCCACTTAGTTTCTGATCCCAGTGGTAGGGGTCAAGCTAGAGGATTTCCAGTTCTTAGGTTCATGAAACACACTTTGAAAATCACTGTATATGAAGAAATAAATCCTGAAGAGAGCAAGCAATAGTAACAGTGACTTGAAGAGTGGCATTTGAATATTATTACAGGTTTTATAATCCTGAACTCAACTTTAATTAGAATTTACACAGGGGATCAAATGATCCTGTGATAACAACTACATAAAATTACATGTTTGTGGTCAAATATAAGTAAAAAATGGGTAACTTTTAAAAATAATTTTATTTTCATTTGTTTTTTTTACTATAACAAATCGTACTTTGCCTGATGCTTGGCCATAATATCTGGTCAATTTCTTAGCAGACAACTTCCACATGTGGTCCAAGCTTGTTAAGCCTGACATCCCCACTCCTTTATCCTAATACTAGTGAGAAATTTCTCAAGCTTAATTTCTAGTACTGTTGTTGCGATATTGTTGGTACTAAAAAGAAACTTTCCCAGTAACTGACACAAAACTCAGTCAGCCAAAGAAATGCTCAGAAAACTGGGATAAAGGACCTAACATGTTATAAAAGGAGGATAATGAAATCAGCCGGCAAATTAATGTAAGGGGGGAAATGTCTACATGAAGGTGTCACTGGTTTAAAATGAGAGGCTGAAGCACATGGTTGTGTCTGCTCTAACTCGGCCTCCTCTGTCACCCTTGTTTTTTAGGCTAACTGCCAGGCGGCCAAAGGCAAGTATACTTCCACAGGTTCTTCTGGTGCTGCGTCCACCCAGTCGCTCTTCACAGCCAACTATACCTACTAGAAACAGCTCCAGCTCTTTGAGGTGTCTTGGGAAGAGGGCTGAAAGTGAACAACTTCCTTTTGACTGACCCTGGAAATCAGACCAAATTAGATTGAAGTACTGGAAACACAATACATGTTAAATTCTTTGACACAAGGAAAAAAAAATCAGTTATTGAAACTTAAGTCTGAATATCAAGGATTTGATGAAATTTCACACAGCAGTTTCCTTGCCCATGACCCAGAGTCTCACCTACGAAAAGAATAGACTTTAAAACGACATCTGCTCTCCATCCAAATAACAACCACTGAATGAAATATCTCAGAAGCTAAGGGCAGAGAAGTGCATCTTATTAAATGATCTTAGGTTATGAAGGAGACAGCTGCAACAAAAAGGAAATAAAATAAGCTATAAACCTTCAGTTGGTATTGGATTTTACTTTTTGCTCGTTTTCTAAGGACTCAGTAGATTTCATTACCTTTGACTCTACTAGACGTGATTGATGTTATAGGGTCCTCAACTTTGGCTACTCATTGGAATCACCAGAGCCTGATTAAATCAAACTCTTGATGTAGGATCCTTTAAATATCAGGGTTTCTTAAAGCTCCTTTGATGATTCCATGTAGAGCCAAGTTTGAGAAGGACCAACCTAGGTTTCAAGTTTGAGGTTCTCCAAAATTGAAAGTAATTTATAATTTGAAGCTAAAATGTGAACTGATTTTGAGAAACATGTGGAGGGTATTGAGAGAATCAATGTGACTTTGCTGCTTTAAGCATTCTTCTTTAAGTGGCCCAGGTTTGGTGATATAGGACTACATATTCCTCTGCACAGCCAAGCACACAACCTACTTTTGCAGTAAATAATATTCACATAATTATACTTGATTGCTTTCTATTTTCAGAAAGCCTAGTTACAGAAGAGAATTTAAATATTGAAGCTTTGGATGACATAAAAGTGATGATTCTGGTAAAAAAAAAAAAAGTAATAATTCAACTGACAGAAGGGACATTCAAAGGGGAGGAGAAATAGAGGAAAGCAAAGGTAGCATTAATTCACTTAGTGAGGAGTCAGGAATTCCACTTAAAATTGATGGATTAAGAAATAGTGTTTTAAGTCTACTAAAGTAATAAAGGAAATTGATATAAATCATTACAAGAGTAATACCTATACTTAAAATATAGGAGAAGGAAGTAAACTAAATTCTTTGCCTTGAAGAATACAAAGATAAATGTTATTGCTTAGAGTTGATAAATTAAGAAATAGAGGCATAGCACATTTAGAGGAATAAAATGGAATTAATCCAAAAGGCTTTCTTCTGATGAGAAAAACCTGGTAGTGAGTGTAAGAAATGAATTATTTATAAATGTAATGTATATGTTATATATTTATAAATTCTATATATAAGAAATTACTTATTATGTGTCTCCAGGACATTTGGTTATTTCCATGTACCTGCATTACTTTCTAAAGACAATGAACTATATCCATATAAGCAATGCAAATCCACCTTAAAGGTCATTTAATCCAAGTCTTTCATTTTACAGATGATAAAAACCAAGGCGAGAGCAGTTAAATTACTGGATGATGGTCACACATTTTGGGTGGGTAGAGCTGAAAGATTAACATTCAGGTCTCTTTCTCCTAAAAGGTACACACAACCAGGGAGCAGGTAAAGGTGGACAATAGGCAGTTGGTCTTCTTTTATTGCATCCATTCATTCCATCAGCCACTACTTGAGCTTTTACCATGTGCTAAGCTGTCCTAAAAGCTTTTGTCACAACATCTGTGTGACAAAGCTTTTCTGCTAGAAAACTTTTGTGTAGAGCTTACTCAGCATCATTGGCTCTCTGTGATAGAGAAACCTCTTAAAAGCTCATTTATGGATTGAACACGAATTTATAATCAAGGCTGAGTTACTTATATCTTTTGCTCAAGGCTGAATTACATTTCACTGAGGGTGAGGATTTATATAATGCATTTTCCCTGGTTACTATCTGACATATTTTCCCTACTAAAGAACTGCAAATGGCTTTGAAATCTCAAGCCAAGTAATTTCCTCCACTCAGGGTAATATGAAGACAAGAGTTATGAAGCTACAGGCTTCAATTTCCATTAACTGTGGTCGCTGAGTGAATATATTAATGGCTTCCTAGATTTCAGTATTCTGTCAGATTTATTCTAGAAGTTGTTGAACACCCACTAAAAATAAAACCTGGTACTAGGCATTGAAAGTAATTAAGAAAACCTTCAGCTTTAGCGTTGCCAAGGCATTTGTATATAGACAATTAAACTTAAGGTAGCTAAGCAAGAAACACAAATGCTATTGATTGGAGGTTGAGGAGTGGGGAGGAGAGTCTATCAGTATAGCTGGGTACAGGTTGGAGATTATAAGATGTTAACAAGGAAAGGAACTCAGAAAAGGAACTGCCATTGTGTAAGAAAATTCTATGATAATTCAATGGAAGAAGATAATACCTTGAAGGCATAAGTATCAAAAGCCAAGCTAAAACAATTACTAAATACTGGAAGGAATAAAAGGAAGAGTTTGGTTTTTGCTCTGAAGAGGGAGGGTCAGAGAGGGAAGGAAGGGGTAAGGAAAAGAAGGAGAGGAGCCCAGCTGGTGGGGCTCAGTGGTTGAGCATCGACCCATTTACCAAGAGGTCACTGGTTCAATTCCTGGTCAGGGCCCATGTCCAGGATGTGGGCTCTATCCCCAGTAGGGGTGTACAAGGTGCAGCTAATCGATGTTTCTCTTTCATTTATATTTCTCTCTCTCTCTCTCCCTCTCCCTTCTTCTCTCTCACAAGTCAATAAAAACATTAAAAAAAAAAAAAAAGGGGAAAGAGGGAGGAGAAAGGAAGAAATGAGAAAGGAAGGAAATAAGAGAACACATGAAGATACTAGGGTGACATGGAATTGTGGGGAGATGACTAAAGGACTTTTACTAGTAAGGAGGGATACTGACATATCTAAAGATGTGTCTTCCTGATAGGAAGTCTCGTTTCACATGAGTCTATATCATGCTTTACAAAAACAAGATGAGACGATTTATAATGTGAACTTAGCAGAAGCAGAAGCTGACTGTAACGATGAGAGTATCAGCTTCTAGGGTCCAATGTGCTAAGGCAGTTGCTCAAGGTCACAAAACCAGTAGGTGAGACCAGTGTGACTTGCAAAATCCTCAAGACTTTCAGATAAAGAATTGTGGACCTGCCCTTAGAACAATATCTGCCATACTTCTAGGGTACCAGGTGAATTATCGATGCTCAATAGAGCCTGAGGACTCATGCAATGTTACCAATTCCCTACCTACACCCATTTTCTAGATGATGAATTAAGAGATAGGAGTAATAGCAAAGCACAACACAGCCAGACACAGGTCTCTTTCCATTACTCAAACATATTTTTCTGGCTGTAACACAATCTGCCCCAAGCCTTCTAAAATAGCCTAACAGTACTGGGCATCAATACATGTAAACATATAAAATCAGTCAAGTATTCATTTTGCACTCAGTATATGCTTTGCATTGTAAAGATACTATAGGGTCCTTCTGTGCTTACTATTGAGATGAGGAAAGCAAGGGTACAATTAGGAAACAAAATGGCACACAATAATGTGCTAAACCACAGTGGCATAGGCCAGGTGCTGAGATAAAAAAAAAAGGAATGCTTTACAAAGATGATTTGCAGATAGTTTTTTGTATGATCTTGGGAAATATATACTTCCTCATCTGTAAAATAGGGTTGTGTGATTAGCGATATTTTATGTACAATGCCAGATATGTAAGTTGTGAATAACTTTTTTTTTTTTGTACAGAGAGGAAGAGAGATAGAGAATTAGAAACATCAATGAGAGAGAGTCATCGATCAGCTGCCTCTTGCACACCCCCTACTGGGGATATGCCTGCAACCAAGGTACATGCCCTTGACTGGAATCGAACCCGGGACCCTTCAGTCCCCAAGCCGACGCTCTATCCATTGAGCCAAACCGGTCCCGGCATGAATAACTTTTCTATTCTCCTCTGTCAGTTGGCTCTGGAAGAATGATAAAGGCACTTGAGAGTGAAGATGAATTAGCTGTGACCTGACGAGTACAGGTTACACATGTTGAGGAAATTATAGGGAATTTGACTAGAATGGTGAAAACAAGTGGAATACCAAGGCCACCACTTTTGAAAGAGACAGAAAGTGAAAGATATCAAATACTAATTAAGAACAATAACTTTTACAGACTATATGAACTACAAAAAAATTTGAAATTTATAGTGCATGTATCGTGCTCAACTGGGTATGCCTAGATTTGCCGACACCCTTCTTTAGGAAGACAGATGAAAGTGAAATGCCTGCCGAAACCAGTTTGGCTCAGTGGATAGAGCATCGGCCTGCAGACTGAAAGATCCCAGGTTCGATTCTGGTCAAGGGCATGTACCTTGGTTACGGGCACATCCCCAGTAGGGGGTGTGCAAGAGGCAGCTGATCGATGATTCTCTCTCACTGATGTTTCTAACTATCTCTCTCCCTTCCTCTCTTTAAAAAAAATCAATAAAATATATATATTTTTTAAAAGTGAAATGCCTTACTCATCAAAATTTCAGAGAAATGGAATATTTACAGTGATTTCCATTTTTTTTCTTTCACTACCAAGGACTCCTTTTTCCTGGTTGTTTTATGTTACCCACTGTGACGGTTAATTTTTTCAACTTGACTGGGCTAAGGAATGCTGGTAAACATGTTTTCTGGGTGTGTCTGTGATTGTGCTTCTGAAAGAAATTTGCACTAAATTGCCTTTACCAATGTTGGTGGGCATCACCTAATTCATTGAGGGCCTGAAACCAACAAAAAGGTGGAGGAAGAACAAATTTGCTCTGCCTAAGCTAGGGCATTTCCTCCAGTCTTTATAGGAAGCTCCTTGTTTTAAGGCCTCTGAACTCAGACTGAATTATACCGTTGGCTTTTGTGGTTCTCTAGCTTACAGATGGCAGGCACATTGTGGAAGTTCTTAGCCTCCATATTCACAGGAGCCAATTCCTATTCTATCTACTATCTATCTATCTATATCTATCATCATCATCTAATCTACCTAATCACCCACCCACCCATCCATCATCTGCTTACCTATTTATCCTTTTGGTTTATTGGTTGATTCTCCAAAGAACCTGAATAAATCTATTAATATCTTGCTTCATCTAATTCAACTCTAAATTTTCTTTCAAAATTGTCCCATGTTATTTCAACAAGGAATTTGAGCAATTCTATTAAAAGTTCATAGTGCTTTATTTCAGCTGGGCCCTATATAACACCCAACAAGCCATCATCCCCAAGTCTTCCATTCTCCCCATTGTACTTCAAACCTTTATTATCTATGAGGCTCTTAACTCTACTCCTAGCAGTGCCTACCCCTCTTCTTTCTCTGACTTTCAAAATATGAATATGTCTATTTTTTGAAAACAGGTCATGTCATGCACACTCTATTTCCATACACTAAATCTGTTCTCTTTTTTCTATCAAATTGGAGGAAGAAAACCTCCAAATAAAATTCTTCCATTATAGAAAAAAAAAAGAAAAAGAAAAAATTCTCCCATTAGTGCTAGAATTAACTTTAGATTATAACAACCAATGTCTACCTGCTTTCCCTTATCTTTAATCTCCCTCAAGTTCAGAATGGAAAAATACTCAAATTTTTCTTTAATCTTGATCCACACATTTATCTCTGGATATCTCCACTGTCTCACAGAATAAGTGAGAGTAATTTCCTTTAAACCTTGATTCTAATTTTTAAACACAGTAATATATTTGACAGGATAGATTTATAGATTTTACACCATAGTAACAAAGAACTCTTACACAAAGCAAAAAAAAAAAAAAAAAAAAAAAAAAAAAAAAAAAAAAGCCAAAGCAGGTTTAATGATTAGAACAGATGAATTAATAGGTTTATAGTAACCTTTAAATAAGGGAGCCCTAGTACCAGAAATAAGAATTTTAAAACTGCATGCAAAGTCTAGTTACTATTAAAACCAAAGCAATATCAAAATATCTCAGCTTCCTAACATAGACTCCAGGTCTCTTTATCTTCAATTCTTGGCAATCAAAATATGTACACTTTCACATGCTACTGGTAGTGAAGGAATACAATTATTTGTATAAGATTACAAATATCTTTCACAGATGGAAGGACACAAAAAGAATAGTGTCTTCCTCCACCTTTTTGGGCCCATCTTGGGGAAAAAGGCACTCCCAAAGATTCCTTGGTAACACTTTGCTAGGTTTGTTACTCACATAATCTTTACATGTAAAATTAATGGTCCACTCATTTCACATTTCCGAGAACCACGAGGCATTGGAACTGCTTTCTTGTAACTCACATGCCAAATAACTGGCTTAAAACAATGACAAAAACTTTGGATATCAGTTTCAAAAAAAAATCTGGGCTGTTTCCTTGAAAGCTTCATCATATGCTCAATTACTAGACTTTGGCATGCATAGCGAAACACATCATAGAACCAAAAGAATTAACGTATAAGATGGTGGCAAAGGTCTCTGAAGAATTATTCTAGTTTTCTAACATGAGTGGTTCTAGCTCCCTTGTATCAATGCAACTTTGTCATTCTCCCTTCATTATTATAACCAAATGCTCTGAGCCCAGGTTTAACCTGAAAGATTTGTTTTAAAAAGATGCATATATTACTGAGGCATCAAAACAAAGGCTAATGAAAAATGTTTGTGGGCAGCTGGTTGCCCACGCAGAGTCTTTAAAAACCATTTGCTTTAGGCCAAAGATACTTTCCTTTCTTACTAAATCTGACTCATATTGAGCAATGTTGAAACTGCACTTGGGTAAGCTAGTATCAAGTCCAGCCTAACTTAAATATTTCTCTACATTTACTGCATCCATGTAGTGTGCAATTTTTGATGCTGAATAAGAGATATGTGGCAATTGAAGGCTTCGCCACAAGCATCACATTCATGGGTTTCTTGGGTTTTCATTTCTGCATGCATCTTCTGATGGTTGACAAGGCTGCGCTGTTGACTAAAACTTTTGTCACACTTCTCACATTTATAAGGTTTCTCTCCTGTGTGTATTCTTTGATGCTGAATAAGGCCTGAGTTCCGGCTAAAGGCTTTTCCACATTCATCACATTTATGGGGTTTATTACCTGTGTGAACACCCTGATGTCGAATAAGATTACAAAGTTGACTAAAGCTTTTGCCACACTGCCTACATCGATAGGGTCTCTCACCAGTGTGGATTCTCTGATGTTCGATAAGAAATGAGCTCCGACTGAAGCTTTTCCCACACACAGTACATAAGTAGGGCTTTTCACCAGTGTGGATTCTTTGATGTTGTACAAGATGAGCACTGACACTAAAAGTTTTCCCACATTCATCACATTTATACGATTTTTCCTTAGGGAAGACTTCCTGCTGTATAACAGGACTGCAATTTGGATCAAAACTTTCTTTAGTTTCATTGTATGAATATGTCTTCTCTCTGGTGTGAATTCTCTGATGCTGAATGAGACCTGAGCTTCTACTAAAGGCTTTTCCACATTCTTTACATTTATGGGGCTTATCTCCTGTGTGGATTCTCTGATGACGAGTAAGGTTGCAAAGTTGACTGAAGCTTTTCCCGCACTCTTTGCACTGATAAGGTCTTTCACCTGTATGGATCCTCTGATGTTCAATAAGAAATGAGCTCCGACTGAAACTTTTTCCACATTCAATACAAAGAAAAGGCTTCTCACCAGTGTGGATTTTTTGGTGTTGTATAAGGTATGTACTTAATCTAAAGGCTTTCCCACATTCACCACATTTATGGGGTCTTTCTCCAGTGTGAATTCTCTGATGTTCAACTAGTAATGAATTTCGGCTAAAGCTTTTTTTACATTTGGTACAGTGATAAGGTTTTTCACCAGTGTGAGTTCTTTGATGTTCAATAAGGTGTGACTTCCAACTGAAGGCTTTCCCACAGTCACTACACTTATGGGGTTTCTCACCTGTGTGAATCCTCTGATGTTTAACAAGGCTCCTTCTCTGGCTGAAGCTCTGTTTACACTGATTACACTGATAAGGTCTCTCTCCAGTGTGGATTCTCTGATGTCTAATAAGGGTTGAGCTCACACTAAAGGTTTTTCCACAGTAGTTGCACTCATAGGGCCTTTCTCCAGTGTGAATTCTCTGATGTTCAATAACAAATGAACTGCGACTAAAACTTTTCCCACATTCATTGCATTGAAACGGTTTCTCACCAGTATGAACCCGTTGATGTTGAATGAAATGGGCCTTGCGGACAAAACCCTTTCCACATTCTTCACATTTATGGCATTTCCCTTCTGAGTTAGGTCTCTTACGAATAATGTTAGTGTTTCCTCTGAACATTTTTTGTTCCTGGGTCAAAGGTTCCCTTGGTATTTCCCATAAGAAGATTCCTCTCTGTTTATCTAACCTACCAACAAGTTCAAAGGTTTCTCTACACATGGGATCCTGGTCAGTTTCACTTTTGATTCTTGTAACTATTATACCCTTTGACTCCACTTCTTCCTCAATTTCCTCAATTTCTTGTTTCACAGTTGGCTCCTCATCCTTATCTCTGTTTAAAACATCTAGAATAATAAATAGAAAACAAAAACATCAGCCAAGTTCTTTCCTAGTAAGGAGAAACTGTCAGAAAATTAAATAATTCATATAAATCAAATTAAGATAAATTAATCTACTATCAAATGTAGTTTACTACCTCAGAATATTGTTTTGAGGATTACATTTGTTCATATACACAAAGCTTTCAGAACAGGACCCATTACTTGGTATAAGAGTATAAGCTACATAATTACCATTAGTGAGTATTAGTTATTTGATGTAATGAAATGTTTTTCTTGGAGAAGAGGTATGAAAAGAGTGTTTATCAGGCAAAGAATGAGTCTGCAGGCGCAAGCAGAGTTGAGAGAAAGGTCTAATTAATCAATAGTAAATTAATGCAAGGTAAGGTGAATAAACAAAGAATTAAAACAAGTAGTGGTGGGATAAACTGGTCTACCAAGGAAAAAAGAATAACATAGGAAGAAAACAATAAGTTGAGGAAAATTTAGAATGAGATAGCATTATTATAAAATGTGTAGACCAAATAACTGACAAAAAGGAACACATAAAATGACACTGAAAAAGATAAAAAACAAAAACCATAGAAAGCAAAAATTAACTCATTAATAAGAACTTATTTATTACAATAAAAAGTATTCCAGGCATTGTGTAATAAGCCAGGATTCAGAGATAAGACATGAAGCCTCCTACTAAATGGAATGGACAATAAGTATAAGCGGAGACAAAAAAAATATGATAAAAAAAT